AGGTCCAGAGTTTGATCCTCCATGTGTGGAGGGGGGAGACAAAAAAAAAGCAACAACAAAAAACAAGACAAGTCAAACAACTACCAGTCACATCATCACATGTGGTCACACATTGCTGAATAATCTGGCTTCCATGGCCAAGCTGGCCTCCTGCTTTATCCAGGTATAAGTATTTGTAAAAATATCTCCAAGTAAGTTTATAGCTATTACCTTTAAAGACCCAAAACTAGCCAGGCATGATGGTGCATGCCTGTAATCCCAGCACTCAGGAGGCTGACGCAGTAGGATCACTGTGAGTTCAGGGCCAGCCTAGGCTACATAGTGAGTTTGAGGCCAATTTGGACTACACGGCAAGACACTATTACAGGAAGAACAAAACAAGACAAAAAAAAAAAGATACAAAACTAAGTTTCAGGTCACAGCCTTAGTGGTTTAACATCGAGATTTCCAAAATAATTGCAAAGAGGACTAAAGATGTGGTCCTAGCGAAGCTGTCTAGTATTCTGGATCTTTTCTAGTTTTTGTTTTTATAGTCCAGGTTGGCCTGCCTCTCAAGTATTGGTACTGTGCGTACGTCTTATCCTAATGCAGGGTAAGTAGATTTGGAATTGTGGGACTGTGGGATTGTGGGATTATGGGTATGACCAAGTCTGGCCATATACTGGAATTTTAAAAAGTCCTGTTTTCAGGATTCTTGTAGTAGGGTCTAGTTCTGGCATTGTCTTGAACATGAACACCAGAGACTTTACTTTTCTGCAAACCATGCTCAGGTAGGTTGGTGCCCTTGTTTGTGTGCATATGGAGTGAATGTTTGGTATGAGCCTAATACCAAATAGTACAAATAGTTCAAGTCTGGAAGGAAGCGGGGATAGCTTGTCTTTGCTATCTGGAGTTCAGAGAGGAGGCTTCAAAGAGGAGGTGTGCTGTTACACCCCTTCTTGTAGGTCAAATTGTATTTATACAGACAGAGCTGATCTATGGAGAAGCTGTTTTATCACTTTCGCATTTCCAAAAGAGAATCCCTAAAACCCACATCTTAAAGGAGGAGAGACTTATCTTGGCTCACAGTTTCATCTGCAGTCAGCCAGCTCCAAGGCAGAATTGCATGGCAGAGGAGCATAGTGGAGGAAAGCTGTTCATGTCATAGTGGCCAAGAAGAAGAAAGAACAGAGGAGTGGGGAAAGGACACAAATCCTTCCTGGTCCCCCGTCCCAGTGACTAGCCTCTTGTGCCCAGATCATCTCAAACAAAACTTTTAAACTTGTCTTCTGATCTCTTCTATGCAAACCCTCATGTTAATACAATTTTTAGGAGAACCTTACCCTTACCATACAAATTTGGATCTACTATAATTTAAATGATGTTATCCAAAGCAGATTTCTTCTATGGAAAAAAAAAAAACAACTTGCAAATTGGTAAGTCTCCAAGGCAAGGATCTGTTCTCTAGCTCCAGCCCCCAAATTTTAGGTTCATTTTCCAGGTCTCCTCCAATCAAATCTACCCAACTTGTGTCCATCTAATGCTCCCCAGGCCTGCCAGCTGCCTGGTTAACTTTTTTCCAACATGACGAAGTTAATCAATAGTTGAACACTGGTAATGCAAAGTAATCACACAGTTATGTGAAGAGGAAATCTAGAGAAAAGATGTTCAGAGCTGGGCGTGGCGGCTCATGCCTGTAATCCCAGCACTCGGGAGGCTGAGGCAGGAGGATCGCTGTGAGTTTGAGACCAGCCTGAGCTATATAGTGAGTTCCAGGTCAGTCTCAACTACATAGTGAGACCCTGTCTCAAAAAACAAACAAAACAAAACAAAACAAAACAAAAAAAAGAAAAGATGTTCACTAGTAATTAAAGGAATGCGAGTGTTGTGTAGTATTTTCCATTACCAAATGAACAAAGATGAAAACAACAAAATACTAGAGTTTGAGAGACTTTAGGGAAATGTGAGGGCTTGTTGTACAACACAAACTTTTGAAAGGGCAGTTTGGCAATGTATGTCAACAGTATAAAACTGTATAGATAATCTACTTCTGAGAATTTATTCTAAGGAAATTATTGAGCAGAGCCAAGGATGTCTAAGCCAGCCTTGTTTTTCATAGAGAATAATTAGAAATAATCTAAACGTCCACCAACTGAGGACTGTTCATATCAATTATAGTACATTTATATGGTGGAAATCTAAAAAGATTTGAAAAGGATATCAACATTTATAGACACAGAAGGATGTCCTTGGGGTATTATGTCCTTAGACCCTGTGCTGCTGCTAATGTAAAGTTAATGCAAGGACACACATATGTACTTACATACACATGGACTTCTCAAGTGGCAGTCATAGAAATGTCAGTCATGATGTTTTCTGTTTGAGGGGGAGGCTTGAATGGTTTCCATCTTTTATTGTTTCTAAAATCACAAAAGTTATGTTCTTTACTGTTTTTGTTTTTTGCGGTACCAGGGATTGAATATTCTTTATCATTAATAGCTCATGCTCACAGCTTGTATCTTATGTGCCAGGTACTTCACTAATTGCTATATACTATTTTTCCCAAAGAACACAAAAGTAATAAAGAATTAAAGAACGTAACTAAGTTCCCTCCAGGAAATGATGGAGCAGGGATTTAAAACCTGAAGGTCTTGCTCCCCAGATGGGCTCTTGCTACACTAATTAGCCCAATGATATAAAAGTCTCTGACCCCCTCAATAGTCCCCCACTCCTCTTCTCAAAAGTAACAACTGTAATCCCAGCACCCTGGGAAGCTGAGGCAAGAGGATCCAAAATTTGAACCCAAAGAGTGCAATTTAGTAAGACCCTGTCTCAAAATAAAAACTATATAAAAGGGCTGGGCATGAAGCTTAGTATGAGGCAATGGTTCAGTTGCCAGTAACACGTACACACACACACACACACACATACACACACACACACACACACACACACACAAGAAAATAACCAGTGTTAATCATTTGATACGCATCCTTCCAAAACTTTCACTGGGCATTTTCAGGTGTGTGTGTGTGTGTGTGTGTGTGTGTGTGTACACATACACACTCATGTTATTTTTCTTTTTTGTAAAATGGGGTGGTGACATCGCTCCCTTCAGTATGCAGAGTTCTCTCATGCTTAGTGTTTACCTCTGGGAACGTTTTGCAGCCGAGATGTGTGGAATTGATATAATCATGCTTTCACTGGAAAATTGCTGTTTTTCAGTTCTTCACCCTAATGTATGGAGGTGCAGGGAGTGTCCTGCACAAGTTACTGGGAGTAGATATGCAGTATAGTCCTGTGCTAATCCTCATGGCACTGTGCCAGAAGGCGTGCACACTAAACCAGAAGATGCTTTTATCAAGACAACCGTGCCAATGCCCCTACTTGAGTAGCCATGGCCTTGTGTTTCCATCAACACAGGAATATATCAATCTTTAATTTTTACCAATATGAGAAATGAAGACTGTCATTTCATTTGTAGTAATTTAAAGCCCTTGGTTACTAGTAAAGTCAAGCATCTTGTCATTTGTTTATTGGTCACTTTCATTTCTCCTCAGAATTGTTCACTTTTCATTGGATAATTTGAGTTTTTCTTATTAATTTATAGGAGCTTTGTTACAAATATTTGTCTTTTGATGCTCAGTGTGTTGCAAATATCTTTCCTAGAATATTACTTTTGTTTGAACTTGGTTAATGTCTTATTTTTTTATGGAAGTTTTTATTTGTTTTATTTTTATGTAATCAAACCTGTCAATTTTTTTTCAGTTTTTTCCCTTATGGTTTTATACTTTATTTAGGATGTGTTTACCCACAGTATTCTCTAAGAATAATATTCTATATTCTCTTCTAGTACATTTACATTTTTATACGTTTATTTTTATGTTTAGACTTTAATTCACAAAGAACTTAATATTGTATTTGGTGAAAAGTAAGGATCTAAAACTTTTTAAATTTTTAGGTGTATCATCTTTTAAACAATGCCTTCAGCAGAACTCAAGTTCCCATGCGTGCCCAGGTCTGTTTCTGGACTGTTCTGTTGGTATCTTTGTCTATATCTGATCTGGAATCACACTGCTTTATTTATTTGAACATTTCAGTAGCAAGTTTTTCCATCTACTAAGACATATCCTATCCCTGTTTGTCTTCTTTTTAAAATTTTCTCTAACTCTCTTCAGACATTTACTTTTTCAGAGGAACTTCAGAATTAGATACCCATGTCCCTAAAATACCCCCTTGAGGTTTCTATTGGGATGAGTAGAGGCTACTCACTAGTTTGAGGTTAGCATCTTACAAAAGTGGGCTAGGGATATGAGGCTGGGATCTTGCTCCCCTGGCAGTTCCCCAGCCTGTGTCAAACTGCCCTGGGAAAGGGAGGGGTGCTGCCTCTGCTTTTTGTCCAAGGCCTTCCTGCTTGACCACTTCTACCTCTCCTGTGATTCCCAGGCTTCTTGCAAAGACAAATTCCTACACATCCCTGGCTCAAGTTCTTTCTGTCTTTTAGTCATATTTGGATTTGAAGCTGAACTTTCAGAGCCAAAATCCAGAGTGAAGAGGAGGGAAACTGAGACCCTGCAGCAGAACCCAGGGGAGATACTTTTTGTTGGAGAACACATTCCTTGCTCCCAGCAAACTACATTGAACCCTCACTGTGACCAGCCTGGGGCCAAAAGTTCCAGCTGAGACTTAAAAAAAAGAAAAGCTTTATTGTTTGAATCAAATTGTCTCATTTTAAGAGTGCAATGATTTCTTTTTAACAGAACTGTGCAACCATTGCCATATTCCAATTTTAAAACACTTCCATCCCTCCGAAGAGATGGTCATGGTCATTCTCTAGATGCCACCTAGTCCCTAGTCTGACAGCATCAGAGGCGTGGGGACAGTGTGGGTACTGCTTGTTTGTCTAGGACCCATACCCCTGATGATATGAGTCCCTAGGTCTAAACTCTCCCTGGGAGACCCAGGGAAGACCAGTTCCTCAGGGCATTGGCCGTACTGAACCCCTTCCTTACCCCTTCCAGGTGGTTAAAGTTTGAAGAAAAGGTAGAGGAAGGAGGTGAACGCTGGAGCAAGCCCCACGTGTCCACACTGTCCCTACACAGCCTCTTCGAGCTTCGCACCTGCCTGCAGACGGGGACGGTGCTGCTGGATCTGGACCGTGGCTCCTTGCCACAGATCATAGGTGAGTCAGGGCCACCTCTGATATCTCTCTTGTCCCCACAAACCAGAGCAGCTCCCCTTGCCTCATACCCAACTGCAAGTCTTGATGCCTGCAGGATTCTGCAGGTCCTAGGGGGCTGATGCTTCCCAAACCACACCCCAGCCACTCCAACTTTCAGCACCATCTATAGCTCCCATGATGAAGAAAGCATTTCCTTCTCAAATGCTGTCCAGAAATGCAGCAGAATGGGACAAAGGCCTTCTAGTGCAGTCAGAGATACCTATTGCCATGACAACCTATTTCTTTTTAGGACAAAATAGACCATTAGGAAATTAATTTCCATGCAGAGGAGTGTCAGAGGGAGGAGGTGGCTTACCTTATTTTCCCTAAGAATTTCTATAAGTTTCATTCTAGCACATTTGATCTTGCCCAGGAGCATTTTACCCAAAATCTAAATAATTTGGTTTTTTAGGGCTAAAACCGTGTAACATAATTCTTTTGTGCTTCCTGGGGCACTCGTGTATACTATTTTGTTAACTCTTCACAACATCGATACAAAGAGCAGAAACTTCTGTACATACCTGTGCATACACACAGATGCACACATGCCCTGTACATGAGAGTCAGAAGGTCTGTGATGTGCCCTGGTTTCCACCATTAGTGGAGAAGCCAGGACTATCTCCATGTCCTCTGTCACCTTAGCTCACTTGCAGTCCCACTAATAACAGGAGAGACTGAAGACTCCCATACCCTGGCTGCATTCTGTCCCACGCGGACAAGGCATGTTGTTTCTTGTCTAGATGATGTCATCGAGAAACAGATTGAAGATGGGCTTCTGCGGCCAGAACTCCGGGAGAGGGTCAGCTATGTCCTCCTGAGGAAGCATCGTCACCAGACCAAGAAACCCATCCACCGCTCCTTGGTAGACATTGGAAAGTCGGTCTCTTCTACCACGAGTGAGTTGGGCTACCTGTGGGTATCCATTGACCACAGGGCAAGTGCCAGGCCCAGGGCCCAGGTGAGCCTGACTTGGTGGCTGGGAATGTCCTGGACATTTTTCCTGGACAAATTCTGAGATTTTGAGGAATTCCTCAGACTCCTTCTCTGGAAGGGCTGAGGGCCTTCAGTAATCCCCCAGTACCTCACCAGAGCAGAAATTCCAAGGAAGAGTGTTGTCTCTGGGCCTGGGCTGCACGTTACCATCCCTTGGGGGTCTGAGTCAAGACCTAAGGCCTGGGGCCCACCCTGGAGGGTTGGATTCAGTTGGTCTGGAATACATCCCTGGAGAGAGGCAGGTCAGGAAGTGCTCAGAGCTCCCCGTGTGCTCACAGCAGTTGAGAACCCACCGGGGATGGCTTGCTTAGGAAGGGCCTGCAAGCTTTTCATGTAATCTCCAAGGAGGGTCTAAGAGCTCTGCAGAAAATGGAGCTTGTGGAGCAGCTAGAGGGGCAGGGTTCATCTTGGAGGTGCAAGGCTCACACACTTGGCAGCTGAGCTCATTCTGAAGAGCAGAGCAAGCGGCCATCTGGGGGGAGTAACTATCCACCTCCAGCCCCCCGCTCTCAGTATCTTGAGTCAAGATGCTTAGAAACATTGGCTCTGCTGAGCCTGTCAGTTCAACGCTGGAGCCAGGATAAAGTTGATACAGTTACTAGACAAAGACCCTTGAGGAATCTCTTTACATGAATTGTGTAAAAATGGGAAGGTGCTCAACATAGCAGAGTTAGCAGTATACTCAGCACTTTGGCACTGTTTGGAATGCTTTTCTTGTGTGAACTTACTTCATCTTCACAATAACCAGTAATATAAGTGTTGCTTCTATCATCCTCAATTGAGATGCCTGAGGCACAGAGGGGTTGCATAAGTTGCCTAAGGTCACACAGCCAGTAAGTGGTGGAATCAGAAATGAATCCAGGCAGTCTATTACTCATAGAGCTAATATAAGCAATTGTATCTATCTCACTTTCAACAGTACCTGCAGCCCCCCAAAGAAAGTTCTTCCTGGAAGGGGAAGAGACACATCATATGATCTGGCTTTATTTAGTTCAGGTGACTGTGCAAGGATTCCAAGCTAATCCGAGAGGCTGCATCAGCCATGCCAGGGTAGCCCAGTGTCCCCTGTTCCTCTCCCCAGGCCGCAGCCCTGCCCGGAACCCTGCAGCTGGCCCAAGTCTGCGACGCTCCACTGAGGACCTGAGGATTCGGCAAAGCACAAATTACGGACATCTGTGTGAGTGTGTTCTCTGCCACTCGGCAATGGCATTGTTCTGGCTGTGACAGCTGTGGAATGGCCATGTTTCCATGGATGGAGCGGGGACAGCCCAGGATCTGACTAGGATTCTCAGGACACAGACAAGGAGAAATCTAATGTTCACCTTGAACCCAGGCCGCCCTCAGAGCCAGAGTCATGACCATAATATTCCAAGTAACTCTGAAAAATAAGGTCTCAAATCCGTTCCTGGCATGATTAATACCAATCCTATATTCTACTAGTGTGTATCTTAGTCTGTACCTGGGTTTTCACTAAACTGATCATTTGCCCCGTTTTCTCATGAGAAGGTTTGCTACAAATGGAATTAAAACCTTTCAGGGGCCGGGGATTTAGCTCAGTGGTGCTGCCACCTGCCTCACAACTGCAAGGTCTCGAGTTTGATCCCCGGTCCCAAAACAAAAACCAAAAACCTTTTAGATCCTTTCCTTCCAGGGCAGTTAGACAGCATTATAATTACTGGTAACAGCCTTGTCTCCAGACAAAAGAAATGTGGGCAGAGCCATAGGGATGGACTAGGAGGCCTGGGAAGTGAGAGGTCACAGACAGTTCTTTTCATGTAGTTCATCAGGGTGAACAGTCAGGAGAGCTGTGAGGAAAGAGGAGAGAGATTGGGAAATGAAGAGAAAAAGAAAAGGAAAGGAGAAGGATTATTTTCCTCTAGACACTTTTCCTTAAATGCTGACAGAGCAACAGGTACAGGCCAGGACTGTGTCTTGACCAGACAGGAGGAATGACTGGTGAGGATGTGGTCCCAACCTATAGCCTCTGCCACAGCAGGGGGCTGCTCCAGTTTTTCTTTCTCTGTACTAATGCCCAAGTCCTCTTACTCTCCCCTGGCATTATTACTCTACTTAGAGCTGCCCCAGGCAATGGTCAGTAAGCAGAAAGGGGCTTTAGAAAGACTTGTGCACAGTGACACTGTGTGTTTGCACCCCACCCTATGGTGACCCAGACCACAATCCACAACAAGGGAAACCTCAGAGAGGATGAAACACATAACCAAGTCCTGGAGGTTAAATAGGAATTTTAGGGGCCAGAAGAGGTATTTTAACATATTCACAAGGAGGCCGTAATCCATGTGTCTTGCTACTTGGGTGGTTTGAACCACTGTTGGCACATACATGACTCTCCCATAGGGCAGCTTTGTGTTATTTTTATTAGTAAAGAGACAAATAACAGTGATTAGATCTGTTTGTACACTCTGTGGTACAAGCTATGCAGTGGGACAGTCATGCCTGTACCACCACTGGTTCAGGTCGGCAGAATGTGTTTAGGGAAAGATCAGAAATAGCAGTAAAGGAAAAGAGTTCTCAGGAAGGAATATGGGTCCAGTTCACTAGGAGTGCAGGGTTTAAGGGGAAGAGAGGATCAAATCAAAGAGGGTCTCCTGGGTCCAACAAAAGAACCCAGGTTGGGCGTGGTAGCGCACATCTGTAGTCTCAGCAGTGCCAGCACTCATGAGGCTGAGTCAGGAGGCTTGCCATGAATTCGAAGCCAGCCTGAACTACATAGAGAGACCCTCTCTCAGAAACAAAAACAAAAAGTTAAAAGAACCCAGACATCATTCTGAAGATGATGGAGACCCTGAAAAGCCTGAGGCAGGAGCACATGGTGATCAGATTTTTATCTGAGAAAGAATAAACTAGAAGAGGGCAGGACAGGAAGTAAGATCTTAGACCTACACTCAGGAATGGAGAGGACAGGGCAGAGTGGGATGTACCAGCGAGTGGGAAGTAGGAGGTGAGGCAGAGAAAGGAGCTAAGGATGCTTCCATTCTGCTCCCTGAATGGCCAGTGCATGGGAGGCAGGTACACAGAATAGAATAGGGTCTGTGGGGGAAACAGACTTGGTAGAAGACATGGTAATGGGTTGGGTTTGAGGTGCTAGGTGAAACTATTCCAGTGGGTCTGGAGCTTAGCAGCAAAGTGGGATGGGAGATGCATCCTGGGTGTTGTCAACCCACATGTGGAGTGGGAGCAACAGGAGTGGATGTGACAAAGAGGGAGAGGGGGTGTGACAAGGTGAGGCCTTTGAAAGGATGAGGGCTCTGAGAAGAGCCACACAGGAAAGGAACCTGAGATGGAAACAAGAGCAGGACAGCCAAGGAGAGCAGTGTTCTAGAAGCAAGGAGTGGCCACGGGCCAAAAGGCAAGGAATTGTGGGTCTGAGAGTGTCCATTGGATGAGGCTGCTGGTGGGAACCGAGAGCCAACTTCCAGAGGAAGGAACCAGAGGCAGCTCAGAGAAGGCACTGCCACTGTTCTCCAGGTGAGGAGGCTCACCTCCCTCCTGCTTCTATCTGTACCCCAGCCTCTCGTAAGACTTTCATGGGTCATGGAGGGCAGAGGAGAAACTAGTCTCTCTTGCTAACAAATTCCAATTTAGTGACCCCTAGTACCTTGTCTGAAAAGGCATCTTTGTGCTTCCTTCCATTTGTGCCTGGTACATGGCCAGGATCTGAAGTAGATATTTTGGTGACATCCAAGAAGGTAGGGACCAAGGGATGCAGGCCAAATAGTAGACTGAGAAGTGAGAAGGAGGAAGTGGAGCCTGGAGCCTAGCCACTCTTTCAAAAAAAAAATTAAGCTGAAAGGAAGGAGAGCAAAAGGATGGTAGCTTAAGGGGGCTGCAGGGTTAAGGGAAGGGGGCCTTGCTTTGTTTAATGAACACAGAAAGGCATAAGTTTGGGCCAAGAGAATAAGACCTGTGAGCATCTGGCTTCCTCTAACTAACCTTCTCCTTCTCTCCTAGGCCATGCCCAGAGCAGAAGCATGAACGACATTTCTCACACCCCAAACACAGACCAGGTAGTAAAGCCTCTGTATTTGGCTGCAGTGGAGGACCACAGCAGGGAGAAGCCTTTGGTTTTAGGGGAAGAGTCCCTTTTGAAAGAACCCCACTCCCTTGAAGGAGGGCAGTCTCCAGGAAGGATCCCGGTGGGAGTTCTGGGCTGCCTTGGTGTCTCGTCAGTTAGGTACTAAGTCCTAGCAGTTGCTCCATGTCAAGGGAGAAAGCTAGCACACATAGCTTCCCACCTCCCATAACCCTCAAGCGATGGGATAGGGATTCTATGCCTATAGGAGTAGGACGAAAGATGACAATGAAACCTGAAATTCAGTGAGAAGTCTCAGAAGTGAGGATGACCTCCAAGCCTTTAAGGAAAGTTTGGTAAAAGGCAAAATAAAAATGACCCTTTGTGTTGGTGCCAGGTGTCCTTCGTGGCCAGTACTAAAATAACAATAGCATACCAAGACTTGGCATATAAAGGTACAAGATCCCAGTAATGAATGTAATTGTAATGTCTACCTAGAATGTACCAATAAATTCAATTAAAAAAAAACAATAACATTAACCAATATTTAAGGCCCGCATACTGCATGTGCTGCTGTGTGCTGAGGGTTTCCTGTGTGTTCACAAAGGTATTGTGTCCTTCGCATTCTACTGATGAGAGAACACTGAGGCTTGAGGCAGTTGAATAACATGCCCCCCTTCATCCTGTTGCAAAGTGGCAGAACCCAGATTTCACCCAGGCAGTCTGGCTCTGGGAGAGAAACCTATTTGGGAATACTTTAAGAACCAGTCAGTATTCTGAAATAGTATTTGGAGAAAAATACCAATTTCTTATAGTCATGCACACAAACAGGAGATCCTTGGTAAAAAAGCATTATCTGGTAAAGATCTTTAATAATCTATTTTAATAAATGCATAAGTGACAATAGCAACTGGCTATCACTTCACCAGGCAATGCTTCTGTGATATAGAAATTGGAACCCGGCACCTGATGAGTCTGTTTCTCCTGGCTGTTACTCCAATCTGCTTCTCAGTGTTTGTACATCTGTGCCTTGCACACGAGGATGCTCTTTAAGTGCAAGCCCAGAGGCATTTTCCCTGCAGACTTTCTCCATCCTTGATTTGTACAAAGCTAAACTCCATGCCTATCCCTGGCCAGTGGGTTCGCTGTGAACAAAGTGGATCCACAGAGCACTGCCATGCTGTAGTGACTGTATGCTGAGGAACTGGGCCAGGGTCCCTTGGGTTTGGGAAATGAGGTCAGTGAAACCCTGCTTGGACAAGCCCATATCCATGGCAAAACCATGGTAGGTGGAACACCCCCATGACCCCATTTCTGGGATGCTACCACCCCAATACATTGCAACCTGAGAGGAAGGACCAAGGCCCTGTTTCAACTTTTCTGTCCTGGATTACAAGTGGGATAGCTGAGCCACTCCCAAATATTGTTTTCAAAGCCTTGTTCTCCAGGGTGTCCCGCCCACCCCACCTCACCTCCTGGCCCTGGCACTCCTCATTTGGCCTGATACTCAAAGGCATGGAACTAGCATGGGGAAGGTGGCTTCCCTGGCACGCCCAGCCTCTATCCCAGAGAACTGCTTGTTAACCAGTTGACTGTGTCTGAGACAAAGGGATTGTCTGAGTCTTGGAAAGTCTGGCTTCCTTGTCACTTCTGCCCTTACTTAATCTCCCTGTTAGGATCCTTGGGGCTGTTGCTGGTTGCCTGGGTGCAAGAGCTTGTTTTTTTCCCATTGGATTTAAAGCATAATAAGGGTGCAGTCCTTGCTCACATGCTATTCCTCATGCTGGCATGCCACCCAGTTCCGTGTATCACCCCCACACCAGCTAAGAGCCTAATCAGGAAATAATTGTGGGCACAAAGGGGAAGGACCTGCTGGTAGAGACACAGGGACCTGTGTCTTCACTGAGCTAATGAGGAGCAGACATTTCTTGACCTTCCTACTTTGGGCAGATACTAGTCAGAGGGACTGGAGGGAGGCTGCCTTGATAGTCTCAGTTGGAGAGTCTCAGAAGTTATGAATTTTCTAAGAGGTCCTCAGGAAGTGACCTGGGATCATGCACATCTATTGCAGACTTAGAGCCTGTGCTAGGGTTCTTGGGAGTCAGGAAGCTGGTGACAAAAGGAGAACAAAACCCGTCCATCCTGACCACCAGAACAGGCTGACTCTTTCCCTCTGCACCAGAGGTGGAAGCAGAGAGGTCTGGGGGAAAAGTAGGCTCAGGTGACACCTGGGGCCCATCAAGCTCCAAGGTTCTTTCCTTTGATTCCTTAGTCCACACAGTAGTTGAGCACTTTTCACTTATCAAGGAAGGCTTTAGGGGTCAAGTTAATGACGTTCTTTCCCATCTCCAGTGGCTTAATAGGTCTCTGGAAGAATATTGGGTTATTTCTTTAAGTTTCTTTTCTTTATCAGTACTAGGATTGGACCCAGAGCTTTGTCACTGAGTTATAGTCTCAACATTTTTAGTCTTTTAATTTGTGGCAGTGTCTCACTAAGTCACTATGTTGCCCACGCTAGGCTCAAACTTGCCATCCTCCAGCCTCTCTCTTTCAGAGTGCTGGGATTATATGCATTGACATGAGGCCCAGCCTTTTTTAGTCTCTTAAGAAATGCCAGGAGCGTCTTTTGAAGTTAGGCCTAAAGTGCAGACTGAAAGGGAGTGAGGGAGTGAGAGCATGTAGAGTATTCTTGTCTCCTTTCTCCCTCCCTGACCAGAGGAAAAACAAGTTCATGAAGAAGATCCCCAAAGACTCAGAAGCCTCCAATGTGCTTGTGGGGGAGGTGGACTTTCTGGACCAGCCTTTCATTGCCTTTGTGCGTCTCATCCAGTCTGCCATGCTGGGAGGAGTGACTGAGGTGCCCGTTCCCACCAGGTGAGAGTCACTGAAACCTGTGGCCACGCCTGTGGCGGGGTGCCAACTTAACATGAAGTCAGCAACCAGTGCTGTCAGGGACACTTCTAAAGGTAGAGAGGGAAATCTGACCAGTGATAAACCTTAGAGGATTTATTTCAAATAATCATAAAGAAGAAACAGGAACCAGCAGGGAGAGAAGCTGTGGGGTGGTCTTGGGCAGCAAGACAAAGTGAGGAGCTTAGAAAAGCAGAAAAAGAAATGTTTTCCCATCAAATCTGAGACTCAAAGGGAAAAAGTTTAAATGTTAACAATGGATACTATTGAGGACCAGAGAAGTCTTCTCTTCCGCTTTTCCTTTTCACTTTTCTTCTCCTTCTTCATCTTTGCAGGTTTCTGTTCATACTGTTGGGACCTTCTGGGAGAGCAAAATCCTACAATGAAATCGGCCGTGCCATTGCAACTCTCATGGTGGACGATGTAAGTGGTAACAAGAAGCCTGCACTCGGGAATGTCCTAGCTCCTGCGCTGAGGGCTGCACTTGCATTCGCTGTTATCCAACAGGCACATTTGAGCAGATGCTGTAGATTATGAGATTCGGGGACCAGCCACTGTCCTTTAGGAACACCAATCCAGTGGGAGGGACAGAGCTGTAATAATAAAATCACTCATATGTTAGCTGCCCAAGGAGTTAAGGAGAACTTCACAGGTGAGGAGGCTTCACAGCTACGGATGAGCAGGGCACAGTAGACCCACCATGAGCTTAGGAGGCAGGCACTCTAATCAAAGGGAACAGGGGTCAAGGCTCAAAGAAGCTGGATCAAGGGTAGCCGGGCTGAGCAGGAAGTGACAGCAGAGAGGCGAGACAGATGCTACACAGAGCCAGTGAGCAGAACCTAGCATTCACACTCTGTGCCCAGAGTGGTGGGGGGTTAGAGGACTGTAAACACAGGCAGAACCCAATCAAATCTGTGAGTCAGAAAGCGTGCTCTGAAGATGGCGTGTGCCCTGAGCCTCCAAGTGGGGAGGGCAGGAGGTAACAAGTGGGTCTGAAATGTGTGAGCCTCTCAGACTGGGCTCTGCAGAGGTGTTCTAATGTGCTCTCTCTGTGAGGAACTGAAGCAAGAGAGGTCAAGTGACTCAAACAAGTCCTACAAAAGGACTGTGGAGACCGGAGTATTAGCTCCAAGGCCTCCCTTTGGTGCCAGCTCTTTCCCATGGTGCCCTATTTTCCTTGCCATGTCATGTTCTCACCCCTCCCACGGGTTGCAAGCTGGCAGCAGGGACGGTGGCTGCAAGTGATTCCTCTGAAAATGGCTGTGACGTGCTCCTGGGAGGCGGATAGATGAGGACCTGAGAAAGAGAGCCGACCCTCCTCTTCTTCCTGGTTTCTCACCAGCTCTTCAGCGATGTGGCCTATAAAGCCCGCAATCGGAAAGATCTGATTGCAGGAATCGATGAGTTTCTGGACGAGGTCATCGTCCTTCCTCCTGGAGAATGGGACCCAAATATTCGCATTGAGCCACCTAAGAAAGTGCCCTCTGCTGATAAGAGGTGCGTGTGGGGGGAGGGGCTTCATTTTTGTTGGTATTTTTTATTTCTCTTTGTAAAAAAACAGAAGCAACTATGGCTAAATATGATGTGGGTAATACTGATCATTTTCTGCACTTTTCTCTGTCTTTTAAGATATTTTGTAAGCTTCCGGAGAGATGAAGGGTAATCTGGAGATAGTCCTTGAGGGGTTGGACCTTTCCCAGCACATGGAGCCTCACTCCCTCCTATTCCTTCTCTTCCAGGAAGTCTGTGTTCTCCCTGGCCGAGCTAGGCCAGATGAACGGCATTGTGGGAGGAGGCGGTGAGACTGCAGGCGGAGGAAGCAATGGTGGTGGAGCAGGGGGCAGCGGAGCCAGTGGAGCTGGCGGTGGGGATGATGCTGAGATGCCGGCTGCCCACGAAATCAGCGAGGAGCTCATCTGGACAGGAAGGTGACCACCGCAGGCCTGACAGAGACCTGCCGTACCCCTGACTTAGCCCCTCCCCTCCACTGTGTGTAGTACCCTCTCTGGGTGACGGGGTCCAACCCCTGGGGCCTTTCCTTCCCTGTGCCTTCTTGGATCCTGAGAAGAATTACCTCAGGAGAGGGGAAAGAGTGACCCAAACTTTTCTCCACATTTGTTAGAGCTGCCAAAGTAAGAGCACTGAAAACTAAGTGGCACAAAACAACAGAAAGTTATTCTCACTCAGTTCTGGAGAACAGGAGTTCCATATCAAGATGTCAGCATGGCCAGCCCCCTGGGCGGCTCTGGGCAGAGTCCTGCCCCGGGTCCTCCTAGCTTCTGGAAGTCACCTACAGTCCTTGACATTTCTTGCTTTGCTGCTGGGTCACACCAGTTTCCACCCATGTCATCTCAGGGCCTTTTGCTTGTGTTCCTCTGCCTTCACAAAGCATTGTCCTCTTTTATAAGGACACCAGTCGTATTGGATCAGAGCCCACCCTAATGACTTCGTTATAATTTGATCATATCTATAAAGGCCCTATTTCCAAACAAAGTCACAGTCACAGTTACTGGACTGAGGTTTTTAATACATCTTTTGGTGGGAACACAATTCAATACATAGCAGTACCTTTTAAAAAATCTTAATTATTACCTATATAAAAACTTCATTTTTCTGTCTTCTAAGGGGACAAGAGAAAATTCTCCTGGCCTGGGTTCTTTGCCAGATCTTGGGGTCATTCAGGTGGATCAAGATTTGGGAAAGGACAGCCTACAAAGCCACATGCAAATCACGATTCTGAGAAAACCATGTTTTTATGTCCTTGGCTCTACCTCAGCAGCTCTTAAAACTAAAAGCAACTTTGCCCCTCTCCTTCTCCCTACCTCATGGCTCAGGGGATTTGGCAGTGTCCAGAGACATTTTCATTTGTCACAATTGTAGGGGAAATGCTCCTGGTATCAAATGGGTAGAGGGAAGAGATGCTGCTAAACATCCTAAATGCACAAGGTAGCTCCCTCCAACAAAAGATTAGACAGCTCAAAACACCAGTAATTTTGAGGTTGAGAAACCCTGCTATGCTAAGTACTGGGTTAGGAACTATGGGGAGTAGCATCCTCAGTAAACACTGTTCCCAAACCTAAAATTCCCAACTCAGTTGTTCCAGAGAGCAAAGAAATCTGTTAATTAATAAGGTTTAGCATCTGACCCTAATATGGGCTGTTTCTACGTCCTGTGGTTGGGCTGTGTTTACCATGCACAGGAGCCCTATGGATGATCAGAGAGGATCATTATCTGTGGACTCCAAGATATTTATTCTCAGACAGCTCCTCACCCCATACAAGCTTCAGCCACCCCAGCTAATGTGAATGGTGCTGACTATAAACTTTCAGTCCTGCAAAAATTCATCTCTGGTGGGGCTGGGGTTTTAGCTCAGTGGTGCCGCTACCTGCCTTGCAAGCTCAAGGTCCTGAGTTCAATCCCCAGTTTAAAAAAAAAAAAAAAAAAAAAAAAACTCTGGTTCTAAATATTTTGATTCCTGATTCTTATCCCCATAGTCAAATTCTCTTCCCCAGCCCTGACTCTGCCCCACCCCTGCTCTGGTACTTGTAGAGACCAAGCAGCTCCTGGGCCTGCTTTGTTCTTGGTGGGCTGTGTCTGGACAGGTTCTTTGGTGGGCTGTGTCTGGACATCAAGAGGAAGCTACCCTGGTTCCTGAGTGACTTCTATGACGGCTTCCATATCCAGTCCATCTCTGCCATCCTGTTCATCTACCTCGGCTGTATCACCAACGCGATCACCTTTGGTGGGCTACTGGGTGATGCCACCGACAATTATCAGGTGTGTACGAGCTGGGAATTTGGTGCAAATGTCTGTAAAATCTGCTGCCACCTGATGACAGCAAGGAGCTTCATCCTGTAATCCCAAAACCAAACTTTAATCCACCATTCAAGTTGAGGGCATCACTATATTTTTGTTTGTTTGTTTCTTTGTTTGTTTGTGAGACAAGGTCTTCCTCTGCAGTTCAAGCTAGGCTTAAACTCACTATGTCACCTAGGCTGGCCTTGGACTCTTGGCAATCCTCCTGTCTCAGCTTCCCAAATACTGGGATTACAGGAGTGCATCTCGACCCCTGGCTCAAAGCCATCAATATTTGTAATCCTTAATAACAACAACAACAATAATTACTTAGGACCAAATGTGAGGATGATATAAATAGGTCAGACTTTAAAGGATAATCATCTGCTTTGTTATTTATTTGATACTTTTCCCAGTGATACTTGAATAGATTTAAACAGCACAATTATTTGCATTGCTAATTGCGGCCTTCTCCCATACTTGTTTTATTATTTATTTATTTATTTATTTATTTCTGAGACAGGGTCTTGCTAGGTAGTTCAGGCTGGCCTTGAATTCACTATGTAGCCCAGACTGGCTTTGAACTCTCAGTAATCCTCCTCCCTCAGCCTTCTGAGTGCTGGGATTACAGGCATGTGCCACCACGCCCAGCTTCCATACTTGTTTTTAAACCAACTTTGCTTAGATTGGAGGTGAAACTTTTATAGAAAGATAGTAAGTTGCTACCATGACAACAACACAAGGAAAATGCCAACTCACCAGAGACACCTGTCATATTTTAGGCAGTCTTTTCCACTGGAGGCCTTTGGGGGTAGAACCATGGGAAAGGTCAGAGCTCCAAAGGCCCATTTTCTCAGATAATTTGAGATGAATTGCCAGCCTGCCTCTTTCTCCCTAGCTTCAGGTTTAGTGTCCAGCTGCCTCCTGCGCATGTCCATGTAGCTGCCCCACAGTAGCCCCCGATTCACAGGTGATATTACCTCTATTTTTTTCCCTCCTGGGCTGCAGCATAGCAGATGACACCACAGTTCACCCAGCTGTCCATAGCAGAAACGAGGCATCATCCTTAACTAAAAAAATCCAGCTTCCCCTCACGGTCCTCACGGTGTGGCCCTACTTGCCTGTCAAGCCTCGTCTAGCATTCTCTTTCTCAGTGTTTCTGCCCTGCTTACTCATTCTACAATCTATTTTCCATCAATCCTGATCATCTTTAAGTTCTTTGAAGACATGCTCCTGTTCAGCTCCACACTTTGTATACCCTGTTCCCTCTTTTGGGATATTTTCTCTTACTCTACTTTTCCCTATTCTCCTGGCTAATCCCGGCTTTCCACATATCTATGTCTAGGGTGGCCTTCCTGACTGTGCTTCTGTGTCATCCAGCTTGTCACACTCCTGGATAGTGGCTCTCAGCCCAGGACAGTTTTGATCCAAGGAGCCATCCAGAGACAGTTTTGTTCATTATAACTAGGAGGGAAATGGCTACTGGTGTCTAATGGATAGAGACCAGGGATGCTGCTAAACATCTTACAGTATGTAGGACAGACCCCACAACAGAGAAGTATCCTTCCTGAAACATTAGTAATGCAAGGCTGAGGAGCCCTGCTGTGTGGAAATTGGTTACTTACTTGTATAACCCACCAGACTGAAGATGTGCTGTCTTGTTCACTGGTAGGCCTGCACTACCAGGCACAACACCTGGTACACAGCAGATACTTAGTAGATTGTGAGTGAGTGAATGATCTGAGCTCTATGGAACCAAATATATGTTTAGAGGAGTGATGGGTGAATGGGCTGACCTCTGGGAGTGAGATGGACACAGGGACAAGCATAGCTACTGTTTTCTGGGCCCTGAGCTGTCAAAAGGAAGTCACAAAGGACTTTTATCCAAACAGAATTAAAGAGAATGATACTGTAAATGGTGGTAAATTGTGGGGATGGAGGTGGAGAGCAGGATTAGGGGAAGAGAGGGCCCGGAATGAAGGATGGACACTGGTCTGGGCCCTTGGAGAAATAGCAAGGTTGCAGCCTATGTGAGGAGACCTCTTCTCCTGCCTCTACTATGCCTCATACTTCTTGCACCCCCAGGGAGTGATGGAGAGCTTCCTGGGCACTGCCATGGCTGGCTCCTTGTTCTGCCTCTTCTCGGGACAGCCTCTCATCATCCTCAGCAGCACCGGGCCCATCCTCATCTTTGAGAAGCTCCTCTTCGACTTCAGCAAGTAGGTGCCCTCTCATGGCCTCTTGTGCTTAAAACAGCCAAAGCCAGGGCAGAGAAATAGTCCCAAAGGGGAGGCAGGGTTGAAGAGGTGTCAGTGCCATTGTTAGCTCTGAGAAGGGCTGCCAGTGGTTCCTCCTGACTGCTGCTAAATACCTGCCTTTGGTTATCTTAGGGCATATTAGCATAGCCCTTAGCAATTCAGGCAAGACAAGAGGAGGAAATGTACATACTCTGCTCATGAGTAATTATGATTTGAAAGCCAGTGTAATGTACAGAAAAAAAAAAAAAAAAGCTAGGGTTTGAGCCAGGAATTTAGCTCAGCGGCACAATGCCTGCCTGGCAAGCATG